ACGACTGTTGTGCTGTCTGAACGAACAATCACCTGCTTCTCCTGAAGCTGAAAAGAACTAAGACTTCGTCTTTCAGAGACCTGCACTGTGTCTCTTCTCTCAAAACAGTAGGAACAATCCCTTGAAATTGGGGTGGCTTGTATTTGAATTGGAGCCTGTATCCGAACTCCAAAGTGCTCAGCACCCATGGACATTGAGTGCATTTGCGCCAGTGGAAGAGGTGTTGACTGGAAAAACGTGGGGCCAGAGGTTGATAACCGTCAGTAACGGTTTCTCCCTCCTGCTGCACGTATGCTGGAAGACTCTGCCTTTCGTGTCCTACGAAAGGACTGCCGGACTCCTTGGCTTGGTCTTATGCAGACCAGCGCTGACCTACGAAGGCCTGGTTTGATGATTCTGCCCGAGCCCAATTTCTGCTCCCAGCTGATGTGTTGCCCACGAGTAGCTGGTGCTCTATCCACTGATCGAGTCAGTTCTCTTGTTCTACGAGACTGCTCCAAGGCTGCTTCTGCATGGGGTCCAAAGGCCTCCCCAGGCACTAATGGAGCTGCAATGACTGCCATGCAGTCTTGATCTAACAAATTAGCTTGAGATAGCCATACCTGACGGCGTGCTTGAACCATATTGGCCAAGGATTGCCCCAGGGCTTGGGCGTGTGCACTTGTTCCTCTGATCAGCATATCAACCTCTCGCAATGTTTCTGGGATGTTTTCCTCCTCTGTCAAAGTGGAGGAGAAATCCTGCAGCAGACCCTCTAAATAAACCAAGAGGAGAGAGTTTGTGCAAGCAAGTCTTGCCGACAAGGCAGAGGCATGATAGGCTTTCCGCAGTTGACTGTCAATTATTCTACCATGCTTGTTAGGGTGTGTAGCATCTCTTCCAGTCCTGGCCATAGCCCCAGTCAGCATAGCAAATGTGGGTCCGATCTGAGGAGCTGTAGCAAGCCCATAAGTTACTGCCCCTGCCAGGTTGCCCAGCTGTGCCCTAGGGAGGGCTGTAGAACTAGGGGCCTTCCAGGAAGACTGCAACTCCATTATAAAATCAGGAAGTATTGGCAACCCCTCTGTTTTACGATGCTGAGGGCCTCTATCAAACACTGAGGTTGATGTTGAAGCAGCCTGGGAAGGCAGTTTTGCACGCTCGGCTGCTCTGGAAATCACTGCTTTATCTGAAGGGTCCAGTGCAAAAGCCTCTGAGGCCTCAGAAGCACTATCCCCTGTTTCTGACTCAGAGATGTCCTCTGGTTCTGAAGGCACATAATTTTCATCCCTTCCAAACACTCCAGACGCTGCCAGTGAAAGCTCATCAGGGTGGCGGCATGGACGTTTTGATAATGGCACCCCCAAGTCTTGAGGTTCTGCCACCCATTACGGAGCCACTAACAAAGTGTTCAGGGTCTCTTGCATTTGCCTTGCATTTGCTTCTGAAGCTGACCCATGTCCCCTTCCACATGCTTGCATTTACAAGCTTGTTTACGTCTGACACCCTCTTAATGAGGATCCCGTTCAGACCGAAGTGGCTCTTTGCCTGCAGGCATCTCATAGGGTAAACCAGTGGTGTTCTCCTCTTGCATCATAAAAGAAGGAAACTTAAATTAGTTAGATAGCTTTTGTCTCCAGAGATGAAGAGGCCTCTTTGTCTGAATTACAATAAAACTCCCACGCTGCGATCACAAACAGCTCTCCTCTACTCGGTAACTTTCACCCTTACAGGTGAAGAGGCCCCTCTTTGGCTGTTTGTTATGAAATGCCTATAAAATATATATATAAATACAATTATAAATATAAATATATAAATATAAATATACTCACCTTACGTTTTGTAAGTGAAACACACACACAACCACGGTAGCTTTCACCCTCACGGCGAAGAGGCTCCTTTAATCACACAACGCACTTGTTTACAAAAAGCATGTGGCAATGCGACAGTTTAAACCCTCGCGGAAAAAGAGACTCCGGTCAGCCAGATACAACAAAAGAACGCACAGCGAAATCTTACCATCAAACAGCTTTCATCGATAGGTAGGAGGCAAAAAAAGAGAAAGAGCCGGCTACATCGCACCTGTATTTATAGACCTTGATTGCAAGCGGGGCATGGTTAATTTGATATAACGTCTCCTGACAGCTCATCCTTAGCGAGGCTGACGCATACTGTGGCGTGTTGACTGAGATGAAATAGAACTGAGGTTATAATGAGGCACTTCCAAAGGAAGTAAAAGAGAAAAAAAACAAACAGAAAAAAATAACAGGCATTAAAATACTCACTGATGAAACAGTTTGTGTTAACATGATTTTAGTGTGTGGTTTGGTTCTGTAAGGCACTGCTGTCTTCTGTAGAGCTGCTTTACCGCTGAAATGCATCTTACAGACACTGGAACTGAACTGGACTGAATTAACACTGAACTGACTAAAGCTGAATAACAATATTGCTGCCTATAGCTGATTGATTAACTTCACACTGAAATTGATCTGAACTGACTTGTCTTTTAGAGCTGCTTTACAGCAGAATTACAGTCTCCATAGTTGAGTTTCCATCAATGATTCTGCTATGTTCCTGTTTATCTCTGTGAAGCTCTTGTATAAAGTGCTATAGAAATAAAAGTCACTCTTTTTTCAAAAGTGGTATTCTCATCTAGGAATTTGTTAAAACTTGTTAAAAGTTTATCCGTATATGTAAAATTGCACATTAAGCCTGATAAATAAATGCTGTAAGAGTGTTGTTCATGATTATTTCATGTTAGCTGCATCAGTTTAAAGCGTATGGATAGGAGTTTGTTGAGCAATACTGATGGTTCACTTCAGTAGCACTGTATCTAAGAACCTGTAAGACATTATAGTACAAGCTGTTTACAACCATGTAAAGTATTAATACCTGCATATTACCAAAGTAATGTGTAATGAGTGTGTGTGGCATTGAAAGTATGTGTGTCTGTTTGCTGAGGTTTATTAATTCCAGCTCTGACTTCATGATAATTTACTCAAGCATCTACACCAGCAAGTTTCAGAGTGTGTGTGTGTGTGTGTGTGTGTGTGTGTGTGTGTGTGTGTGTGTGTGGCGGTTTTCTGTCAGGTTTTAAAGTCAATAACATTTCTCATGAATATGTGATGTTATCTATTGGTCTCTGTTTCTATGTAAACTTTTCCCTCTCTCTATCCAGTTTTGTTGCTCCTGCATGTTGAGGCACATTGGTGTCAAAATGTCCCTGTCAGAGACAAATCCACCAGTTTTGAGGGTGAAATGTGATAGCAGGCTATGAGTGCACGCTCATTTCCTTCACAACTCTCAAACAACAGTGAAAACATCTCAAGTGTGCACAGAAGGGAGTCTGGCTGATCTTCTGTCATGAAATACACTCTTGAGACCATTAACTTACATATCTATAACTCACATCATGATGAAATGCTGAATTATATGACAGTAAGGGTACTTATTTGCATATTTTCTGAGAGACATAGCAGTACTTGCAAGACAGCAAAAAATAGTGTTAAAGTTTAAGGTAAGTTTAGGTTTTAGTCTTCAGTCTGTGCAAATGAATCACTGCTGTCATGACACTCTGAAGCTGGATGTGAGAATCAACACAAAACAACAGTTTCTTTGCATTAAAGGGTTAGTTCACCCAAAAATGAAAATTAGTCCATAAATTACTCACCCTCAAGTTATCCTAGGTGTATATGACTTTCTTCTTTCAGATGAATCCAGTCGGAGTTATATTAAAAATTGTCTTTGGTCTTTCAAGCTGTTTAATGGCACTCAGCGGGTGTTGCATGCATCAGTCCAAAAGAAGTTAAATAAAAAGTGCCCATCAATAATAATAAAAAGTGTCTCACACGGCTCCAGGGGGTGAACAAAGGCCTTCTGTTGCGAATCGATGCTTTTTGTGAGAAAAATATCCATATTCAAAATGTAATAATTACTTTAATGTAGCTTGCGCCAACAGTTGTACACGGAAGTGCTGCGCATGCACCGGTGAGTCTCGTGAAAACCAACGTTTGTTAACGGGAGCAAAGGAAGCAAAGTTTCCTTACTTTAGCAAAGGAAAACCAGTCTCCTCTTGGCTTTTATCGAAATCCTCCGACATTCTTCTTTACAAATCCTCGTTTTGTACTTCTAATTAGTGACCGTTGTTTTGTTTTGATCTCTCCGCTGTGTTTCCGTGTTTGTCACTTCTGAGCGGCACATGCACAGCGCTGAACTCATACGTCATCAGCCCGGAGTTGCTTCCGTGTACAACAGTGAGCGCAAGCTACATTAAAGTGATTATTACGTTTTGAATATGGATATTTTTCTTACAAAAACGCATCGATTCACTACAGAAGGCCTTTGTTCACCCCCCGGAGCCATGTGAGACAGTTTTTTTTATGGATGGGCGCTTTTTATTTAACTTCTTTTGGACTGATGCATGCAATACCCGCTGAGTGCCATGAAACAGCTTGAAAGATCAAAGACAATTTTTAATATAACTCCGACTGGATTCGTCTGAAAGAAGAAAGTCATATACACCTAGGATGAGTGGGTTAATTTTCATTTTTGGGTGAACTAACCCTTAAAGACCAAAATATGTGGTCTTAAAATACCAATCACACTTTAGTGTGACACTTTCCTGTCGCTCAGACAGAACATCAATGCCAAAGTCATGGGTCTGACTGCCAGGGAAAGAACTGATAAAATGTAAATGTGTAACTTGAATGCAATGTAAGTCACTTTGGATAAAAGCATCTGCCAAATGCTAAATCTAGTATGCTAATCATAACATGACATCATCGATAATTGTTGAATTTTGAGCATTCTAACAATAAAATGAAAGGCATATTTTCAAACTTTTCAAATTTTGGTGAAAAGGAAAATTAGAACGCCTACATAAGACGTGGAGAAGGGATTCCCACGGATCAGTTCTCGAGCAGGTGTTCCTGATCTAGTTACAGCTACATGTGTGAGCAAGTAAAGATTCTGTAGGCTCCGAGCAGTCAGGCAAAGTATTACTGGAGAGAAAGCAAACTCACGTGTGGCTTCTGTTGTGCGTCGGCTGTACGTTCGACGAGCTCGGTATCGAACGACGAGTTCACCGCTCTCCATCATGGGTTCAAACGCCTCACTTTTCAACAACACACACAAATGCAACTCTTTAAGCCCACATATTCTTCACATGGAATAGTACCTCTTAGTATTTTTCATTACTTTATTCAGTTATTATATTTTTGGTAATGTTATATCTAAACTATACCTGTTGTAACCATTGCTAAACCAAAATATGTACACTTAAAACAGCTCCCACATCTTCTCAGTACTTTATTTTACTAAAAGGAATGAAGATTGACCCCATGGGATCAGGATGAGAGTTTTGTGCCTTCTAGTTCCTGTCCCTTAGCTCTTGTCTCATGTAGGGTTATGAGGAGATGCTGGAGACTATCCCAACATCCTGCTAACAGACATACACATTCACACTTACAACTACAGACAATTTAATGTCTGTAGTTCATGTATGCCTTTTCATTTTCCAGTTAGGTTTAATAGTAGCAGTAGCATCTCTGCTCACACCCACAGTGTCAGAATACAGCAAAAACAGCAGAAAGCCTCATTACTACCCACCCAAAGCGTGTCTCCTTCCGCCTCAGCCTGGTCACGTACACGGCCAAGAGCAGAGTGAGAGCGACGGCAGTGGCGATGGCCATGACCACATACCACCAGTGCCAGGAGAATGCCGGAGCACTCAAGATACCTTCACACAGACGCAGAGAAAGAAACTCAGATTTAAAATGTCCAGACTGTCAATGTAAATTAGATTCTAAAGAGGAATGCAAGCACTGGAGTGTGGAAACCTAATGAGCTGCCTACTTAGGATATGGAGCTTTTTCTTGAACAGTTGTTTATTGAGGGCTGTGAGTGATGATTTTCGGTAAAGCTGAGTAAAAAGCATTGACTTCATCAAATCTGACTTGGCACTGGCAACTGGCTGGACAGATTTCAAACAGGTCTGAAATCTGCCTTACACTAGAAGAGCATTACCAACGGGCATCTGTCGCCACCTGAGACTTTGTACTGCAAACTAGTCACAGCCAGTATTATTTCAATTACAGAAGCAGCTGTGAGCTGTAGTTTACGTCTAGTTAAGTCACCCCAGGCTAGATTCAAACTTGGGTTGCGTAAATAAGCCATACCATACCTCTCACTCCCCACCAGGCCAATATCTGATGTGTCTTTATATTTTATCATGGTCATCTGTTCAGAGACTAGAGACTGAATGTATGTTTTGTTCAGCTCGTCACTGGTTGAATTAGCTCATTAAAATGACCTCAGTGCATATGTGTCCATATTTACAGCAGGGCGTTGCTTCTAGAGAACGTCCGAAAGTCTTTCCACATGCCTCCCACTCAACAAAACTCCTCTCAGGTTTTGCCTGCAACTAATTTCCTCGCATTTCTTTCTGTTCATTTCTTGCCCTCATATCTCTTTTTATTTCCTCTTTTCTGAGACAGCAACAGCAGACAGAAAGAAAAACAACAACAACAGCAGCATTTTAAGAAGGGCTCTAAATAAGGGAAGTAAAAGGAAAAGTCCACTTCTATATTTTGTGTGGGTCCTATTTTTGTGGGACGAAGTGTTCCCAACATCAAATAACAACTTCATTAAAACACACAAGTACAGAGGTTTCTGTGAGGGTTAGGGTCAAGGTAGAACAAATATAATTAGATCAATGTAAAAACATGTACAAGTCAGTAAGAAGTTCCCATAATGGTGGGTGTGTGTGTGTGTGTGTGTGTGTGCACGTTTTTGTGACATATGAAGACACAAATTGTATAATGACATGGGTATGACATAGGTATTACAAGGAGAAGGTGATTTATGAGGACATTGCCCCATGTCCCCATATTTCAAAACGCTTATAAATCATACAGAGTGAGTTTTTTTCAGAAAGAAAAAATGCACACAGTTTCCTTTAAGGGGTAGGTTTAGGTGTAGGGTTGGTGTAGGGCAATTGTACAGCTTGTACAGTATAAAAACCATTACGCTTATGGAATGTAACCACTATTCCCAAAAACAAATGTGTGTGTGTCACTCACCTCTGGATTGCCCCGTTTCTGCAAAACATTGCAAGGAAAGAGACCGTGAACATTCAGTGGAACTGTTTGACCTGTGAGAATTTTAGATGTGATTACTGTCTGCCTGCTTTCATACCTGCATGAATGAGTGTGATGGTTTGGAGGGGCGTCCAGGGCCCCTGTCCCGCTCCGGTGTATGCACACACTCTAAAGGAAACATTCGACAGGGGGGCTGAGAGATTGACAAACAGCTCTGTGTCCAAACCTGTGTCCACCACAACCTGCAGACCAATCCATCATAAACAACAAAGCAATCCAGTCAACATCAAACACTACTTCCTGAAATCTGACAGATTGATACAGCTATTTAGTATAGAGAAAACAAATGATAAAAAATATAAACATGGTAATGTTTTTCAGAGATGGAGGAATGGAAATCCAAAAGCAAACACAAATATTGTTGTCAGTGTGTGTGTGTGTGTGGTCACCTGTTCCATGTTAGGTGCGCTGTACTCCATCATGTATCCCTGCAGCCGTCCATTCATCTTTCCAGGAGGTTCTGACCATCTCAGGAGCACTTCTGTTCCATTCACCACAACCGTCACATTGTCTGGGGCTGTATTGGGAACTAAAACACAAATAAAATAGCACAAATTAACATTCTCGTTCAAATTGTGAAATAACCCAGGCTCAATAGAAATATGCTACTATACCTACATTTCTCAAAACTGCAAATTTCACTGCAGTTTCCAGGCGAAATGAACACTAGAGGCAGTACAACGCCACCAACGCCATTGTTTTCACACAAATTATGATTACAGGTGTAGATTATTGATTAATAAACACTTTTTGATTTTTCAAATCACATCTGCACTGTGTATGGATTTTCTGATGTAGTAAACTGGTACAGCATTGCACATGTGATGTAAAATGACTAATGAAATAAAAATCACATTTAACTGTTTCTGAGAAAATTGAACACTGTGTAGTGACAGACACTGGACAGACTTTGAAACTGCTGTGAAACATGCTACAAGCAACTCAATATAAGAAAAATGATTTAGTTTATAGCACTTCTTGTGGAAATGTCATGTAAAATACGAAAAACACAAAGAGCTGTCTATTTTAAAGAGACAATGCGAAAACCTGTGTACACGTTCTGGCCAGTAAATTTCCTCAATTTACCCTCCGTCACCAAGTAAATCCTGGATTCTGGCTGTAGCATTTTAACAGGTGTAGAATAGTGTGAAATATAACAGGCGGGTTTGGGAAACCACATTAAGAACAGACACAAAGATGCTTTGACAGTTTTCAGAATCCATGAGAATTATAATTTCATGTGTGTAAGTTCAAGTATCCCAACACTGAGAACAAACAGAAGAGACAGAGCTTAAGCTATGACAAAGGGAGACACTTACTAATAAATGCCCCATGCATACAGTCGTGGTCAGAATTGTTGGCACCCTTGGTAAATATGATCAAAGAAGACTGTGAAAATAAATCTGCATTGTTAATAATTTTGATCTTTTATTTTAAAAAAATCACATAAATCTAACCTTTCATTTGAGAATAAGAATTTAAAATGGGGGGAAATATCATTATGACAAATGTTTTTCTCTAAAACACATTGGACACAATTAACGGCACCATTTTATTCAATGCTTTTTGAAACCTCCATTTGGCATGATAACAGCTCTGAGTTCCCTTTCATGGGAACTTCGAACTGCGTCCTCTAGGGGTCGCTATGGGGAATGCCTCGTCGTGAGCCGTGTCTGAAGCATACATTGAAAAAACACCAACTCGTTGGCCGGCGACAGGCATGACGTCACTACCGGTGCAACTATAAAATAGGTGCCGGGAGCACACATTCTCTTCTTCGTCTTCATTGACTGTTTTGTTTGAAGCGTGCATTTCTGTGGTAAGAGCGATCTATTCATCTCATTATGGCGAGCACTAGCAAAGCATTTAAGGATGTGTGCATCCGTGTTGACGTTGTTTAACATCTAATGACACACACGATCTATGCGTTGTTTGTTTGGGCAAAGAGCACGCACGCGATGCCTCCGAGGGGGCAATCAGCATGCACTGCAAGCGTTTTTTCCAAGGGAAAAAGCTCTGCTCTCATTTGTCTCTCTTTTCGAGGAAAGAGGGGCAGCCATCTGCTTTCCGCGATTCAGGACCCGCCGCTGCTGAGGCACGGAAGGGAATGAGCTCGTGGGGATCACAGGTGGATCTGGCCGATGAGTTTGAAGGGGGGTTT